ATTGTTGTTTGGCGGGTCCGGGCTGGGGATTCGAACCCGCCACCTTAGGTGTACGTGGCTGGCGCCTTAGCCGGTTGAGCTATAGGCGCCGAGCCTAATTCATCTTTATATAGACCCATGAACTTATTAATAGTTCTCTCAAAACAATCTTGAAAGTCTTTTATAGAGTAATAGTCGTATTTAAACTATTTATAAGTGGCTTTTTACATACTCTGCTGAATAATTCAATAAATAAGTAAATATTTTATTTTCAGTTTGTCCCTAAGAGAAATAAGCTAATAATGAGTTAGTAATTCTCTACTGACCACTGACTGGCACTGCTCAGCAAGACTTAATGAATCAGGATATAAGCCGGACATAGGGGGAATTCATAAGGAACAATAGACACTACAAGTTCTCCGAACTGGACACTATTGGTTATTTTCTTTACCTGAAAACACTGATGAATGTTCTCTCTGAAGAGATGAGGGTATAAGGTTGGGGAAAGCACTGACCACTATAATGCTTTTGGTCTGTTCCTTCACATTAGCAATAACAATATGAAAGCAGGACAAAGTATGATGAGTTAGGGATTTTATGCTTTAGTGTCATCTGAATCATAAATCCCAAGTGACCAAATGTGCTGTATTTGCCGGGAGTATGCTCAGGTAGATCTGTGAATTTCCATCTTCTGATGTCTGTGTTGTCTCTCTTCTGTCTTTTCACTTTTAACCCCATAGGGTTAAATGTATAGAATTTAATTCTTTATGTGAATTGGCATACTGATCTCCCCCAGGGGAACCCATCATACAAATTCAACAACAACAAAATCTGTGTGTAAGGTTTCTTTTCTTTTTGTCCAAGTATTTTCTTTTTTTTCTTTTTTTAATTAAATCATAGCTGTGTACATTAATGCAATCATGGGGTACAATGTGCTGGTTTTACATACAATTTGAAATGCTTTCATCAAACTGGTCAACATAGCCTTCACGGCACAAGTCACAACAAGTATTTTCTTTTTTCTTTTCTTTTTTTTTTTGAGACAGAGCCTCAAGCTGTCCCCCTGGGTAGAGTGCTGTGGCATCACAGCTCACAGCAACCTCCAACTCCTGGGCTCAAGTGAGTCTCTTGCCTCAGCCTCCCAAGTAGCTGGGACCACAGGCGCCTGCCACAACACCGGGCTATTTTTTTGGTTGCAGCCATAATTGTTTGGCGGGCCTGGGCTGGATTCGAACCCGCCACTTTAGGTGTATGTGGCTGGTGCCTTAGCCACTTGAGCCACAGGCACCGAGCCACAAGTATTTTCTTAATGACAATTTTCAAATAGTAATTAGTAACACTGTGCTTTACATATCAATATTGCCTAACACATAATGTACTTTATTGATCAATACTGCTTATCTGTTCTTGCATGGAAGAAGTTCCATGTAAGAAAAATTATTTTAAATAAATTTCTAAATTAAAAGATTAGTAAAAATGGATAATCATGGAAATAAATTTATGTTTTTTATGCACCTACCTGTGTATTTGGGTGTGTTAGAGGATGCCACATATACCATTTAGAATTTAAACTCTTAAAACTAACTGTAAAGGACCATGATTGCTTATGAAAAATTTTCCTCTGTACCTGTCAAGATACATACTTACACATCCATGAACACATTCAAAATTCATCAGAAAACAAAAGTTGCAGGTATGAAAGTCTATAATAATATAAGGCTCCATAGTTCTCAGACATTCTCTATAGTTTCAATATATTAATTTTTATAAAGGAGTAAGTTACTTACAGAGGTATTTAGGGTAATAAACCTTAAAGCAGTTGATGATAAAGCGTACAAAGTCCATGTCCTAAAATAAAGATTAAATCTTTAAGACTGTCCACATTAGAGTACTTCAAATTGCACATTTCTAAAGGTGATAAATTACTAAATACAAATGAAAAAGTTATTTCTTAAAAAATAAGCTCATATATAAATATCTATATTCCCAAGGATTAAGGTTTTAGGTCATTAAGCTATTTATAATTATCAGCCCTAAAATTTAGTTGAAGAAATCAGATGCTATAGTGCTGTTTTAAAATTATTCATGTTACCTCAAACTAGTTACATACTTCAGGCTGCTAAGGCAACAGGGCATAAAATAGATCTAAAAGCAATCTTCCCAGAGAAATTCTATTCACAGAGAAATTCTATTGAGTAATTAAAAAATTACTGAAACAACCTGACTAGAATAATATGTATGCATGTAAATTCTAATATATTTGTTTTTTAAAAAAACTTTGTATACCTTACAGTAGCCTCCATAAAATATTTTCTATTAATATCTTCTATACAGCAGTTAATCCAATCACACTGACCTGCTGGATAGACTTCACTTCTGGCTTTTAAAATTTTATCTAGGTACCTACAATTAGTTTTTTTTTTTTTTTT